TTCATTGCTGATCAAGTACCAACAAATCTATTTACTATTTTTCAGTATTCTTGTCGAGTTTAGCCATGCAGTTGTGTGGGTTGCTTTTACTCTTCTTCGGCCTTCCAATTGTTTCATTCTTTTCCGAAGGTTCGTCGGGACCTTTTATATTTTGAGGTTGTTATTATTATTATTTGCAAATTATTGTATTTTCCAACCAAGTCTGGCTCAAGTTTACTTGAGCCTTCTACAACTATTCACTAATGATGATGCCCGGAGAGTTTCAAATCTTGACTCTAAGTCGCTTTCATTTAATTCTTCAGTTTCTTCAATGCTTTATTATTATTATTATTATTATTATTATTATTATTATTATTATTATTATTATTATTATCGACTAATCTCAGAGCTTTTACACCAGTAATATATTCCGGTTTTTATGGGTGTCATGTGAGCACAAGTCGTTTCACAATTGACAGTGCTATCTTCGGTATTCGAGACTGGCATTTCAAAATTCGATCTTGGTCTTTCACGATGTTCATATGTACTCGGCGACTTCACACATCAGCTGTAAATGTTGACTTTCAATAAGGATAAAGTGACAACAAGTATCCTCGCTTAAACAGGTGTAGAATGGGCAATAGTCGGCGTGGTGATACATATTGACATTGTGGGAATGTTTTAATAGTACAAACACACACACACACACACACACATATATATATGTATGTATGTATGTATGTAATGCGTACATATAAATCAACATTGCAGCAAGACTGTCAGTTTCAACTTTAATGCGATCATTTGGGCAAATAACAATAACCACTGAATTACAATATTGAGCTTTCTTCTCATAATTATATCAAATTTGACATACATACACACACATATAATTCATATTATTGTTTTTACGATATTTATATTGTATTTTACAGAGATTTTAGTTAAATATAAAATTACACACGCACATTAAAAAGCATTAATTAAAAGACGTAACATATAGCAATAGAAAAATAAGTATGTATTTTATACATGCTTGGTTGTAAAAGCCAGAGATACTGCTGAGCCACCATTGGTTAACGGTAATTATATTCCACCCCAAAAACATTCCTGACCTAAGGGTTATCTTCTGGCAAATTTTTTTATAGAGATATACTTATTAATATTGATAATATGCACACACACACACACACACAAACTCATTCACAAAGACAATATATATATTTTTACATATATATATATATATATATATATATATATATATATATATATATATATATATATATACTAAAAAAGGCCGCGTTTCACAATGGAAGCAGCGAATATCAGGAAGATTACGTTTTGTAAGTCAAGGAGTCTTTGTAAATTGAACAGTATCATGAGACAGAGCGAGTAAAATAATAAATAAAATACTTGAATAGCTTATTATATATATATATATATATATATATATATATATATATATATATATCTGAGATAGAGCGTGTGCAAATATTAAAGGGGACATTAAAGTCAACACCAGACGAGACAGTATATTTCATGCTAATTGAAACAATCACCTATACGTATTGATTCAAATGATTATATATATATATATGTGTGTGTGTCTGTGCGTGTGTGTGTGTGTTTGTTTAATGACCTTACCGATGAAATTGCAGGAGTTGTGGGGACATAAACTAACACCTCGATTATAATTAGGCGCCAAGAGTAAACATTGAAGATGTAAGAACGTTAAATTTTAAATTCCAAAGTTATGTTTTTTTTCCTGAAATTGTTATGTCCCCATGATTGTTGATACAGACCACACAGACACACACACAGACACACACACAGACACAAAATATCCGGAACAATTGCCAGAATCTATTTAAGTGCATTTAAAATTTGTAGACCTCAATACTTACCAGATGATGATCTATTCCAACGGCAACTGGAAAAATATCTCAAATTAATTTAAAATGTGTTACAATAACAACTAAAATAATAAGACATTTAATAACAAATATAACAATAACAACTACAAAAGAAAAATAAATTCAAGACAGAAATAAATGACAGGAAGACACAAATATGAGAAAACATTACATGAATGAAAAATAAATCTTTTGTAAAAAAACACACTCAAGGTATTAGTTTTTAGCCAATGAATAAGAGCAAGAGAGCGATTTTAAAAAGTAAACAAAAACAAAAATCAAAATTCATAAATCAGATATTGTTTAGAAAGTTTAGTGATTCCTGATCTTTACCAACAGGATGATTAATAAAACTACTATTGTCACAGAATAGGATATTAAAAGATAAAAGCGATCAAAATAAAAGTAAAAGCGTTGGAAAGCAAAAGAAATCGGAACAGAATAACTTCTCTAAGAAAATATATGTAACATTTTAATATATATAATGTTTTTTTAGTAAACATTTTAGTATTGATAGGTTCTAAGGAATTTATCCCAAAGAGCGAAATGGCTATATAAATGCGGTACAATTGATTTGAATTTTTAGTTAATCCATTTCAATGCTGTATAATAAAAATATCGAGCTCTTATTTGTGCATCAGTTTTAATATTTTATATTAATAGAATTCACTTGGATTACACACACACACACACACACACACACACACACACACACACACACACACACACACACACACACACATATATATATATATATATATATAGTTTATGCAAACTTAGGTAATCCGTATGGGTAGACCTGAGGAGGATGATATCCAGAGAGCTCAATGTAAAATTCAGAGCAGATATGTTTGAATAAAAGACAGACCACGTTAAGATTCCATGTAATAAGCTATTTCACCATAACCCCTTTAACAGGGTTCTGGATCATCAGACTTTACTTCCAAAAGCTGAAATGAAAAATGAAAAGAAATTCACACGTTTTTGACGGACCTCATCAAGTATACGTAAAATTAACGAAGTGAGGAAGTGAGGTGGGAGAGAGGATATGAGTATGTCATATGTATCATTTCAGTTTCCTATTTTTAACCCCAGTGTGTCGGCTAGATGTTGCTCAAATTTAACGCGTCTCGTCTCTAGATATAGATGGCTAAGGGGTGAATGATAAGAACGACATTAAAGGAAGAAGTTACAACAACCCCAATCAATTACACGACAGGTTTCATTCAAATTCTTAGACGCTGTCAGTTCGCGTTACTTTAACGTGCTTATTTGGGAGGTTATGGTTTGATAAATATCTAAATGTTAAAACAATCTACGAAGAAATTAATTTGAAATTCGGTGGAGTTTTGGGTACAATCGATTGGAAAAATCCATAGACAGAACATTGAAAGAACAATCCATTTTATATTTAGTGATTTTTTTTTCCACTAAAACTTTTATCTTATAGCTTGTTAGGTTGACATCTATTCGTTTGATTTTTGTTCATTAAGTAAACTCGTGATTGTTTTTATGTACCCAATTATCAACGGTTATTCCCATTTAAATAATTTTATTCTCCACACTGGGGTAGTATCTTTCAATCTCAATTAAAATACCAATCTAAACTTTCCCTTCGTGCTATTTAAAATTCACTTCCAATTAGAGAATATTAGAGGAGATATTTGGAAGAGATGTCACTAGCAGAAAATTAGGTCCTTCTTTTACAATTTTTTATCTACACATGTCTTAAACCCCTATTTGTAACCACATACCTATATCTTCTTATATGCCTATGAGTTTCTATATACACCTACACACACATTCACACGAAACGACCATATGTATATTTCCATCTTTACACATATACACCTGCAGAGAAAACGCACATCCACATGTCTCCATACCTATCTCCATATATACTTATACTTACATATATACATATACACACAAGGACATCTGCATATCCATATATATTCATACGCACATATATACATATTTACACACTATGTATACACATATACACATACATACACACACATATATGCATACATACATACACACATACATATACATACACACATACATGCATATGCATACGCAATATGCAGCATATATACATACCCACATATGCGTTAATTTGCACTTACATATATCTACACACGTATTTGCCCCTATCCTCATGTCCACCCGTGCATCCACTTATGCCTGCGTTCGAAGACTATCTCAGTATTTAATTACATTATCTATATCTTTACACATATAATATTACCCGATATTTCATATTTATGGCAAAACATATAAGTACCTCTCTAATTGTACATCTCCACACTCACAAAAAAAAAAAAAAAATGGTATGCTTCTTTTTCCGTATAAAAATATATACATGTACATATCAACAGGTGTCTCAGTGTACAAATACATTATCATAGTGGTATACATATAGTCATGTGTTAGCGTTCACATGTGCATAGTAATATTTCTAAAAACAAAGGGAATATAAAACATTCAAAATTGCTGTTCCTATATGATTATTTCTCAATGTACTTGCTTAGGTTTAGGATGTTTTTGTGCCGGCATTTAAAAACTAGTTCACTGTGTCTATTTAGTAGCATGTCTGGATATTTATGTTTGATTATGAAGATTTTCTCCTTCAAATATAAGTTGCATCTGTCTCTGAAGTTTTTGGGAGTTCTGGCTCTTGATATTATTCTCCACTTTATTTGTGGTGTTAGGCCACTCTCCAACAAAAACCAATAATGATTTGATAGAGCTGTTTGGTTCTTTTTACATTTATTTTTGAAGGATTGGCGATGGTTGTATAGTCGGTGTTTCCAATCTCCCGCTGATATTCCTATGTATATCTTTTTCTCTTCAACCTTTCTTTGGGGAAAATTGTTGCTTCATATATTGTGTTCTCTGTCATGCATATTCCTTCTACTGGGCACTCTATATATATATATATATATATATATATATATATAGATGGATAGATACACAGGCACTT